TCGAGTGCTTCAAGACATGGAAGAGTGATTTTTGTGGCCAGGAGAAGTATTTTGTTTGGATAAAAAGACTTCCGGTCGGCCATTTTGAATCGCTAATTTCATCATATTTGAGGACAAATATGCATCAAATGTAAGTGGAAAAACATATTTTTTCACTGCTGGTGGTTTTATAAGCTGTGTGGAATGTTAATGCTTTGAAAGAAACAAGGATATATTTGTTTATTCTTGTGGTTTTGCTGGTTATTGGTGGAAATTTGGCTGAATGTACTCCAGTTGGTGTAAATATTTCTGAATATTAATATATATCTTGTAATTTAATTTTGCTGTGAGTAAATATGGATGGTAGAATGTGTTTTGTGGGGTTTTTATCTTTAATTTGAGCCCAGAGTGAAGTCTGTGTTGAAGCATTTAGAAGTTAGTGTTTTAGACAAAGTGTACAGTTTGAACGTATTTGTACATGTGTACAAATATGCAAATGGGACATGCTGGATTTTACTATGTCTAAAATATTCATATTTTACGCTACTGTTACCAAATTTGAACTGGTAATAGTTGGGAATTTATATTTTAGCCTCCCAAAATATTTTTCTCACTATCTCCTTCCTTTCCTTTCATAGTCTGTGATACTTTATTAATAAAAAATACAAATTTAGGGAGAAAAATATCTTGATTTTTGTGTACTTTCACATCAATGCACTAAATACTAGTTACCGTTACAAAAAATTTGACTGCTGAAGTTAAAAATTTAGATTATTAGCTTTAGAAAGAGACCAAGCTTGTAAATTTACTCTAAAGGTTTCAGTACTTCATTTAATTTGTGTGTACTTTTTAAGGTGCTTTATAGTATTTTAGGCCCGCAGGTTAAGTAGATATATACTGTAATAAATCAGAGAACACTCTGCTGTTTGAGCCTTTTTTTATTTTATTTTTAATCTGTCGGGGGAAAGATTTGGAAACATAAATGCTTTTTTCTGGATTTTTTTCTTTTTTTTATCTACTGAAAACACTAAAAAGTAAATTCCAGGCAGCAGATTCCTGCTGACCACTGTTAAACAGCCTAACACCACAGCTTCATCACTGCACGTCCTGCTGTGATATTTAACTCAAAGCTGGAGCACAAGCTTTACTTAATGTCTGTTTGCAGATTAACAAGTGAGATTACTCACGGTCAGAATATGCAGGGTTGTTGTAGAAGATGCAGCCGGTGGTTGCGTTGAAGCCACACACAACCACAAAGTGACCCTGGTACTCCGGCCTCCTGCAGAAACACTTCTGTCCCACGGGCAGGAAGCAGCAGTACTTGACGGGCGAGGAGCACAGCTCACATGTCAGGACCACAGCGTTGACCAGGACTATGGCAACATGGCCATGCTCCAGATGAGACTGGATTTCCTGAATTGTCACCGAACTATAAAAACACATTTGAGAAGCGCTGGTTTAATCTTCAAAAAACAAAATCTGAGACGTAAACTTTCATGAACTCACCATTTCTTCACCACCACACCTTTGCTGTCTGCGTTAAGAAAGAGTTTGTTGACTCGATCCTCCTCTGTATCAAAATGTTTCTTATAGAAGGACTGTAAAAACACACCAGCAGAGCATTAGTGGGGCTCAGAGTGCTCCGCTCTGGTTTAAAGGACTGCAGTGATGATTCCTCAGCGCACCTGGTTTTTAAAGCCTTTATCCACACCGAGAGTCTGAGTGCAGAAGCAGTGTCTGACTCCTAGATGGAACATGAGGTAGGCCAAGTCGATGGTCCACACGCTCTCCGTCAGCTTCAGCTCCCAGCATGCTCTCTGGAAGTCCTCATCRCTCACAGGGTGCAGGTACCTGTGGAGACCAACACTTTGAGTCCACCTGCCTACACAAAGTAGTCTTTAATCAAGCTCCTAAGTTAAGAAAATATAAAGATCCAGAGGCTGTACTTACTTTAGGACCATCCTGGAGCAGGCTAAGCCACAGTCCCAGTGGTACAGCTGCCGAATGACTGGTACATCCAGCAGGACGTCATCCTCTGAGGGGGGAAAAAAACATCGAGTTACAATTTAAAAACCAATTAAAAACGTTAAATTATATGAAAACACGGCAGTCCAGTTCAAACAGTGTAAGTGTTATAAATCAGGTTACCTGTCATTCTGCTGTAATCTTTTTAATCAGGTTGGTAGCTAACTCGGGAGGAGCCCGGAGGTCTTGTTTACCACTCTGGAGGTAGGGTTGGGTTTCCTCATCGATGCTCAGAAGTAAGAAAAAGAAAGAAGGAAAAAAAGAAAGATCCTAACTCTTTTAATGTCAGCACGCTGTTTACAGCACGAGACCAGCTCCTCTGTGCGCTGACAAACTAAACATACCGTCAGACAACAAACAGAGATAAAACATGAGAAAACAACCTAATTTAACATCTTTCTGTGGTGGTATTTCTGTCTTCTTCCTTACTTCTCCGCTGTTTTGCTAAAACATACACGGCAGCTCTGTATRTTGTGTTGTACTCTTATCTAAAAGTATGTTGCCCCCTAGTGGCGCGGAGGATCTCTATTTCATTAGGTCTCTGAAGGTGTGTGGCAAGACAATGTGTCATTTAATAGATAGACATCTTAAAAGTTCGTATGTATGTATGTATGTATGTATGTATGTATGTATGTATGTATGTATGT